TAGTCTGACTTTAGGTGGGCAGAGTGACTTGCATCCTAGCGAGAAATGTGTTTTCAGGTTTGGATTTTTTCCTTGGTGAGAGGGGGAGGAAACAGATTTCACCCATAAAATATTTTGGAACAATTTACTTCACTTACACTGCTGTAACCAGATTGCACTGCTTGTCTTTTTAAGTATCAGAAGTATTTACAATATATATAAAGATTAATCACTAAAGTATAATATCACTTTTTACCATTGCTTTTTTTTTTCCAAGATTAGAAAGTTGTATACTCTGGTACTGAGCCTCCTTTCTGTACCAGAGTACACAACTTCCTAATCTTGAAAAAAAAAAGCAATATACTTTATACTTTAGTGATTAATCTTTGTATATTTATCATTTGGCACATATCTAGGTTGTTTTTGTTTTGTTTTTGTTTTTAATAATTACTACTTTAGGACAAAATCACCACCAAACACCTGTTACAACTAGAATTAGATATAAAAAGCATCTGTGATTGATGCAAAAAATAATTTTAAGCCACAGGGACAATATTAGTTTTTTAAATTACCTTTCTGTTGTATGGGAAACAGAGAAAGACCTCAAAGCCACCAAAGAAATTCAACTCAAGCTACAAAGTCTGCCTTAAATATAACATGATCTCTTTTATATAGGAAAGCACTCTGTGAATTATTAATTAAACTGTGTAATACCTGGCAGAAGCCACACAAATAGTTTATAACAATGTCTATAGCAGGAAACAAATTCACCTCACACTATTCATGGGTGTTGTGTGTATGCCTATGAAACATCCTCATGAAGAAAATCAGACTTCAGGCCCCTTCCTAACTAGCGCTGCTCCCAATTGGTTTAATTCTCAGAAATCAAATCACACTGATCAGCAGAAACACACATGGTACAATAACAGCCCTCAGAACCACAAGTTTCAAGTTACCAAGGCTCCTTTTTGGCTGACAGACATCTGTAGAGGAGAAATGAGCTGTGTTTCAGAATCAATAAGAGATGACCCAGATGCCTAGGACTGTTACTTCTGGTGTTCATAAGAAGAAACACCAGATTTTGTTCTGGATGCAGAAGTGTACGCTGTACCCTGCACTGAAATGTAAAAACAGATGACCAAATTGACAGAGGTGATCCCACTATCCAAATTCAAACACTAGCTAAGAATGAAGGCTAATATAAAAGAGAGTTTTTCACCATGCAAGTAAAATGCAGTCCTTTGGAGTCCAGGGAGATGTGTAATTGGTATCTGCAAGCATATTGCAAGCCGTGAGTTGGATGCTCACGGTTTGTTGACAGAAGGGCTGACGTCTTAAAGAACTTAGCCATAAACTCACTTATTATGTACAAAACAAAACTACTCATGTAGTGCAGAACCTATAATTATTAGTTATTGGAATAAATTTGCCTCCTTGATCACCCCCTTAAAGCATCAAAAGTGGATAAATAAAATAAAATTACAAAGATAACAATACCAGTCTCTTTAATTTATATATTTATATCTCTACGTAGTAGACATACACCTGTATACATAAATTACTCTCTATATAACTGTATATATAAATTAAATATATTTAATTTGAATATTTAATTTTAAATATTTAATTTTATATATAAAGTTCACTGAAAGAGATCCATTTAGCATTAGCAAACCTCAGATACATGGTATTGATTCAAACTAACAATAGTATTGCAATTATTTAAAAATTATGAAATACCTTTTTATCTAAAATGTTAGTGCTAAAGTCATTGTATAAAGATAGAAGATGGAAAAACCAGGTTGAGGGCAAAACAAGAAACTGATTATAGAATATTTATAATATAAATAAAAGAAACTGATTATTTAGAATATTTATAATATAAACCATTTATGTTAGATAGTAGACTTTATACAATTTGAAAGATTTGACTAAAAACAGGTATTTTTAAAGTTTACTAGATAAATAAACTGAACCAGGTACATTTAACTAAAAATATTTTTTGTTACCAGAAGAGCTTTTTTATATTTAGGCATAAGAAAAGCCTTTCAAATCCTTTTATTAAGAACCTTAATAATCATGTTCTCTTACCTTCATAGAATACTTTAAACCCATGGGCACTAACTGCAAAATCACTTGTCAAACGTAGTGAAAATACAGATTTTGTACTTGTCACAGGTGGAGGAAGATGAAATCCTGTTAACCTAAAATAAAGAAGTATAAATTGTGGTTAATTATTTAAAAAAAAACAACACACACAACAGGTTCTGGATTCTTGTTTTATACAAACTCCTACTAAGAGATGCAATCTATGTATTATTTGTGAAAAAAAATGAGTTCATAAAACTTTGTAAGGAAATGATACAAAATTTGATTGGCACATATGTATACCAGCTCAAGTAATGTTTTCTCAGCATGCTTTCTCTGCTAAGGAAAACTGCACAGAGAAGGATATAAAACATATAGAAACTACGAAAGAACCAATGATACAGATTTTGTACAAAGTTAGTACAAAATCAAGCAATTAACACCAACTATGGAGCTGTCCCGACATCTTTTACATGATATTTTTTAAGATATGTGTGTATAATTTATAGTAGATGGAAAGTTATACAATACATATAGAATTTTATGCAGTATATAGTCTTACATGATGAAAGGAAAGAGATCACAGTTCAGTTCAACGTAGGATGTTAAGATGTTTTAGCCACATTTCAATTTCAAGAAAGCAATTTTACCCTACTAAATGTTAGTAGTATTGTTTAGATGGATGCCTGTAACTGACACAGTGATCCCAGAAGGTAATACTGAGTAATTCGACATCCAGTCAGAAACCCGTCTTACAGGGTTTATCAGAGCTTCTTTGTCAGATCAACATATCCAGAGGTAGGTAGGGAAGACAATTTTTCTGCAACTGCTGCAATATTTTAAGAACACTCAACTTTGTGTCTCCAGTTCATCTGACCTAACTGGTATAGGATCTTTACTTTCCAAGTGCTTGTTATAGACGGACTTGTGGTAGAGTAAACTCACTGTGGCTCAAGCCATGCAAGACAAACGTGATGTTGATTGGCTGAGACAAGCAGCTACGGAAATTGATTAGGATGGTAAAATAAGGATGTTTGTTCATCTCCGTCAGTGAAGGGTTACATTTAGAGCCCAGTTTGCCAAACAGAAATGATTTCAATGGCCATTTTTTTTCCCGTGGCTGGCGTGAATTGCAGATTTTCTCATAGATGCTAATCTTGCAATTGCAATCAACATTTTTCAGGTTTCCTAACTATAATATACCTCACACATAACTGCCTTTGCATGGGGAAAGAACAAGCATCATCACCTGGTGCAGTATTTGTAACCAAACTATTTATGGTGTATATACCCATTCTCTGCAATTGGTCTAGGTTCATGTGACTTTACACTGCCTAAATGTAGACAGCGAGAGGCATGTACAGCCATTCCCTGCTGCTGGGAGCTGCATGGGGAACCCAAAGTCAGTCAGTCAGGGTGAAGGGACAGACTGGTAGGACTGAAGGGGTGAGGTAATGGGGGGATTGGTGGGTCCAGGGGGGCATCTGGTGGGTCTGTGTTGGGTGGGTTCCTGGTCACGGCTGGTGGTGGGAATAGAATAGCATTGGGCTTGGGGTGAACAGCTGAGCTTTCCCAGCCCTGGGACTATGCTGCAAAAACCTGCAGAATTCAGGAGATTAAAGTTAACTATTTTTTAGTTTGGGTTAACCCTTTCTTGATCTAATTTTGTGCACCTGCTCCTAATTTAAATTAGGCATGCTGTTTTTTGGCTGTATTAACCCCTCTGAATACATGTTTGGGCATTTAGGTTGACCTAACCCTGGTTAGGTTGGTCTAAATGTAATGACTGTATCGATCCTTTGACAAATGGAATAAAGGAAGCGAGTAACCTAAACAGTCCATAGATTGTACTAGTCCCCTGTAACATGCAGATACTGATCAAGTGTGGATGCTTATCTATTTTAAACCCAACATGATTAAGTCCTAGTTACCTGAGTGACCTCTCTCTCAATTCAGTTACACAAAAGATAAAGTCAGATAGTTTTCTGTCACTAGAGTTCCACAGATATTAATGTCTGGGAGCTGCTGTAACATGTGTTACAATCCAGGAGGACATTTCTAAAAGTATTTTCATTTAAAAAGAAGAAGGAAAAAAGAAAAAAAGGAAAAAGCCCCTGATATTGCTGACTTTGAGGTCAAAGCAAATGCATTTTTCTTTTTAAGTCCCCCCTTCCAACATATACACCTACTTACATATTTTACTTAAATATCAAAGCATGTTTATTGTGTTTGCTTTGTTAAAGTTTAAATTGGAATTTCATTGCTTATGTTCATTTCCGGCTGGGATTTACTATACATATGCACACACTTTATTTCTTTTCCAATTCAATGGGGCTAATGTTCCACTCTTATTTCTAATTCATGTATATATTGTTATGCTTTGGGGAAAGCAGATAGATTAATATACAATGCAACTGCAACTCCAAAACAAAAGAGACTCTCTACACAATGACAAAACATTTATTGTAAATAATAGTCATTGAACTCTTCTAGTACTTCTTATATTAGTCCTGACTAGGATCAGATCCATGGTTCTTTAACCTTTGGATAAAGATACTCCACACTAAAATGTCTAGGTAACCTTTACAAAAAAAACAAAGAGAAAGGTTTGGATTTTTTAATGTTTTGCTCCTAATATTAATTAAATGTACGAAAGAGATTATTTTAATGTTTTAAGGTATATTTAAAGAATGCATCCTTTAGTTAAAGAAAATGGCAGAGAAGTGAAAATCTTGCTGAATCAGTAAAAACTTCTATATCAGAAGCTAGGGCATTCC